GATAAGTTACATGGCTGCCTAAGTGGAAAACTCTATGACACCCACTTGACGTAAACAGACACCAAGAGCAATGTACCTCTCTTTACCTCTTCAGGATGGCTGGAGACTCTGGAGAGATAACTCGATCTTCCCTGCTGCCGAAGAATGTGGTCCTGGGATTCTGACCCTTGAACCAGAGATTTGAAGTGGAAACTTACTGGTTCTTTGGAGTCAGTTGTGTCGGATGGTGTTTTGCAGACACGTGAAGGAGTATTTTCCTGAAGTGGACACAGGTGAAAGACTAAGGCAGACTCATGAAGGAACATTTCACTGAAGCAGACACAGGAGATGTTCTACTAGAGAAACCATGGGAAAGGACATGTGACGAAGGATTCTTCGGTAACAACACACATGTATCGGTCTGCCTTACATTGCTGAGCTAAGTTTGTCAGAACTCAGAGGACTTGGGCTGACTGGATGCATGTGCTGAGACAAGACCTGTGCTGTGGCAAGGCGCATGGAGGACACATGATGTTTGGAGGGTATAAATAGGACTCGACTGAGTGACGGAGACAGAGCTTGGCTTGCTGGTACAGCTAGCTGTGTGACACTTGTTGGTCTCTCGTCTTCCGTCGATCTTCCCTGGGAGAGGCACAGCCGAGAACTTCTCCTGGTGTCCCTCCAGGTCCCTCATGCTGACTCGAGCTGAGGCTGAGGCCTGGCTATAACTGCAAGGTTGTGTTGCCACTGTTGCTAACCTGACTCTACCAAACTAGACAGAACAGCTGGTGTATCCATGAGGTGTTTGTGAGTGGATCCAGCTACCACTGCTGACCTGTGAATTGAACTGCCAATTTCCAGACAACACAGATGGGAGTTGCTCCAAAGAACTTTTCTAAATGGGTCCACTCCCCTCCTCCCCCGTATCCTTTCTTTTCCACTACCTTTGGTGGTAGGTGGATGGGCTAAAAGGGAGGTTAAAACGTTTAAGAACCATCATTAAAAATTAAATTTTTTTTAAAATCTTAAAGTTACAGAGATTTCCATTAGAGACTGGACCTGAGCCCCATGCCACACAGGTGAGCAGCCGTGGGGAGACAGGCTTAGGATCATAGTTAGGAACACTGAGTGAAAACCTTGTGTGAAGGTTAATAAAAATAACCTCAGCATAATAAAATATAGTTTTAGTTACACCGGCTGAGCAGACCTACCTCCTTGCTCCCAGCATCTTCCTGTTGAGAAATCATTGCATACACTAAGAGACTAATTAAGAAAAATCTCTTTAATGGTGCTTTGTCAGCTGAGCTAACACCCAAGGAAGAGCTGTGTGTTCAACAGATTTTACTAAATTATATAGACTTTAGGTTTACACATTCCACAAACACTGTGAGCCTTAACTCTCTTTCAAATCCTGGGCCCAGGTTACACTTTGAACAATTTACGGGACACTAAAAGTCTGGCCACTCAGATTTACGCAGCAGAGATATTACATATCACTGGAATTATTGTAAGTACACCAGTGTTACTCCTTTTCGAATAGTTGTTACCAAGGTTCATCTTGCCCATTTGACAGAATGATGTTTCTCAGGTAAGAGGACAGGGAACTTAATGGCAGACCAGAACTTTAGGACAATTGTGACCCTGCCTGAGTTGCCCTAGAGGTTTGCCTTTAGTATGGGAATCAGGGCCTAACAGCTGGTGAATCCTAGCTGGTAAACCTGCATTCCCTAGTCTCTAACAGGCCTGGTTAGCATGATCCTTACCTTTCAGGTGTGTGGCTCTCTTAGCTAGATATCACCTGTGTGACTTGTCTATTAGTAAACCTATTACTATTTGGTAATCTAGCTATTACTAGCAAGGCTATTAGTAAATCCTTTACAACGTTAGTTTTAATACTTTGAGCTTCTTCTATGTCAACTAAGATTGTAACTGAGGTGGAAACCAGAGCCAAGGCCGCCTCAGGATTGACTGAGAACAGGACCTTCCAACCTCAAGGAAGCACTCCATTCCTTTAGCATCACCGGACCGGAGATGCATATACTTTCTGGCTGTGGGCCAGAGGCCATCCTGGTTCCTCCTCTCCCCGACAGGCATCCTATTGACAGGCTAGGGAGAGTGAGGCAGCAGCAGCACCGTTAGGACACAGGCCTGCCCTGTGAGGCTGATCCCACAGCATGAATCAGCCATGGCGCTCCTGCTCCCTCTGGGACAGAATTAAGAAGCGATTTGTGCTGTGACTGAATCACAAGATATGAAACTTCCTGCCACCCCAAAAAGGTTATAAAAGGAACATTCCTTTGTTCTGAGGACTGGCCCAAGAGTCCTCAGGGACTTCAGAAAAGGTGCTCAGAAGGCTGCTGAGGAGGCTTCCAAGTGCCCTTCTTCCCCACTCTGCCTATCATGGTCATTGTAGTGTGTGTGTGTGTGTGTGTGTGTGTGTGTGTGTGTGTGTGCGTGCACGCACACATGTGCACGCGTATGCATGCTCTGCTCCAGGTTCATAAGGGAGGTCCGCCCTTCCCCTTAAGGCCCCACCATGTTTGGATCTCCCAATATTGTATAGCTGAGTCTACCCCTCTTCTTTCCTACTTAAGGTTTCTAGCGCTGGGATGTGACACAATGACCACAGCAACTCTTGACACACGGTGCCGAGTGAGCACACTCGCGCTCGCGTACACACACACACACTGCTAAATCTTACAAAATATTTATACTGGGCATGATAATGCACACCTTTAATCCCTACACTCAGAATGCAGAGGCAGGTGGATCTCCGTGAGTTTGAAGCCAGCCTTCTCTACACAGTGAGTTACCAGCAAGGACTAATGAGCTCCTGTCTCAGAGAGACAGAGTACAGAGATTAACTTGAAAACCTTCAGTTATAATGCTTTTGAGTTACAGAAAACAAATTGAGGGTCGGGAAGATGATTCAGCGGGTGAAGGCGCCTACTGTTGGGCCCCACATGGTGGTAAGGAGAGACTCAACACTTGCAAGTTTCACTCTGAAACCCACACGTGCCATGGTGTGCACGAGTATGTGTGCAAGCACACATTAACACAATTTTTACAAAGACAGAAAAACGAATCGAAAATGTAACATGTGCTTTATCTCAAGCACGAAGTTCACAGAAGGCACCACAGGCGCGGCAGAACTCTGGGTCCTCAAATTAGCTACAGCAGGGGTGTGGCCTGTGGTAGAATGCTTGCTTAGTATGTCAGAGGCCCTGGGTTCTGTTCCCAAGATTGAAAAGAATAAAACGAAGGTTCCCATTGTCTCAGCTGTCATGCTGTGACAGAAAATCCCTCAAAGGAAGAGAGTTTCCTGTGTCCTTCCTGACAAAGCTGCATCCCCCATTACCAAGACAATCACAGGATGACAGTGACTCGCTCATACTGTTCCACGGAACCTCTGGATAGGCCTAGGGTCACATGCTCCTGAATCACACAAGGAGGGACAGGCACAGCGCCTCAAAAGGAGACCCTTTCACATGCAGTCTCTAAACTTCCAGCAGATGGCAGCAAGGTGCTTGGACACCGAGAACCTATTCCAGGTTTACGCAGTTACAGTAAGTTTCAAAGGTGAAGTCAGCATTCCCTGGATTCTGCACCTGTGGATTCAGCCAACTGCAGAGGGAATCAGGGAGTGGAGTGGAGGCGAGATATGAGTTAGCAGGTGCTCATCTGTGGACTAAACCACTAGTCGGTGTCTACCTCTGTGATGGAGTATATAGTCCTGCTTTAAGGTGCACTTGGCAAAGTCTATCTTATTTTGTTTTTCGAGACAGGCTTTCTCTGTGTAACCCTAGCTATCCTGGAACTTGCCCTGTAGACCTGGCTGGCTTTAAACTCAGAGATCCACCTGCCTCTGCCTCCTGAGTGTTGGGACAAAAGGCATGGTCGACCACAGCCCTGTAGCAAATTCTATGTTAATGATATATCCCATTCCAGGTTTAAGAAAACTTTCAAAGATCTGAATTGAATTCCAACAAAGTCTAAAAACAGACACTTAAGACTAACACACTCAAAACTGAAGAGCCATTATGTTCAAAACTCACTACTATTACCAATAAAAAGCCAAAATAAATGCCAAGATTGATCTTTATTGTTTTTTTTCCTAAGGTCGGGTCTTGGAGTTGGTGAGGTGAGAGTGAATCTGCAAGGAGTTAGGGATTAAATATGATCAAAGTACAGTGTATAAAATCTCAATGAATTAATTAAAATGCTGTATTAAAACACAAGGTCTTAAGTATTCTAGGCTGGCCTGTGTGGCTGATGCTGATGACAGTCAGTGTCTGGCCTTCCTGATTTCCACCTCAGTGCTGGGTAGACAACAGTACACACTTGGTTTATACAGTGCTGGAGACTGAACTGGGGCCTTCGGCATGGCAGGCACGCACCAACTGCACTGAATTCATACATAGCCCTATTTTAAAGACGTTTTATTTATGTGCATGTGCACGTGTGTGTGTATCTGTGTATGTGTGTGTGTGTGTGTGTGTGTGTGTGTGTGTGTAGGGGAGGGAGAGAGGGAGAGAGGGAGAGGGGAGGAGGGAGGGGGGAGAGGGGGAGAAGAGGAAAGGGAGAGAGGAAAAGAGGGAGAGAGGGAGAGAGGGAGGGAGAGAGGGAGAGAGGGAGAGAGGGAGAGAGGGAGAG